AGGGGTTTTCAAATAAATGCTAAGGAGCTATTCGTTTGCTCTCTCTCTCTCTCTCTCTCTCTCTCTCTCTCTCTCTCTCTCTCTCTCTCTCTTACGTGTTCTCACACATAACAGCCGCTTCTTTCTTTTCTTCTTTTTTTGTTTTTTTCTTTTTATTCGCGCATCGGTGACCAGCACACTTGCGCCGCAGGTATGCTCCAACCCCAACCCCCCCATAACCGCCCCCATCACCGAAAGTTTCTCAGCGGATTTGGGCTGTACTCAGCAAGCGCAGTACAGCCCCCAACTAAGATTCGAAAAAAAATCAGTGGATGGTTGTTTTCCGACTGGTCGGCAAGTGCAGTACAGCCCCCAACTCAGATTCGAAAAAAAATCAGTGGATGGTTGTTTTCTGACTGGTCGGCAGACCGCCGACCGGTCGGCCCTACTGGTCGGCTGGCTGCAATAGGGTCGGCGGTTGGGGGGGTCCGCGGTGGGCACGGGTGCAACCCTGGTTGTGCTTGTGCTTGTGCTTGTGCATACAAATAAGCTACCCCCTATATATATATATATATATTTGTTTTTTTAATTTTTAATCCTAATTTACTATTTTCTAAAAATCAATAACTAAACAGAAACAAAAATGTGCACCATCCGTGCACTTGTCAGCATTCATAATGAATGTGGCCCATTATCTGGGCCATATTCGGGATGTATCTGGACTGCACTCCAGTCCAGATATTACATTCAAAGCGCTGTTCAGGTCAGTGATGTCCTTGCCTCTCTCTCTCTCTCTCTCTCTCTCTCTCTCTCTCTCTCTCTCTCTCTCTCTCTCTCTCTCTCTCTCTCTCTCTCTCTCTCTTGTGTGTGAACCTGTAATCCATTGATTGGCTTTTTTATTACTTGATTGATTTTTTGATTGCTTGAGTGATTGATTGACTGATTGATTGATTGATTGATTGATTGATTGATTGATTGATTGATTGATTGATTGATGATTGATGAATTGCTTGATGACAGATTGATTGATTAGTTGATTGATTGAGTCATAGATTGATTGATTGGTTGATTGGTTTTCGCATTTTCTTTTCAAGGGGTTTTTTATGGACTCCCATCTTTTATTTTTGCAATGTGGGGGGGGAGCAGAGGAGGCGGTACCACCTCCGCCTTCCATGGTGCTGCGGGACCCCCAGAAAGCCCTCAAAAACCTGTGAACGGCATTTGCGCGGTGCGAGGGTATGAACGCGTGTTCGCCTGCTCATTCACCTTTCACGGGTAGGCACGGGCTACCTATGAGCAGGGTTGTATGCATCTGACGGACAAGGTCAGATACAGTCACTCGCGGCCAAGGGCACTAGCTGCTCTTGAATGTACACATCTGATGGACAAGGTCAGATCATGACTCAGATGTGCTCACTGACGATGAGCGCTACTTCGAAGCTCGAGCTTTCTTCCTTCATTTTTGCCTGCAATTGACATGCCAGTAATTTTGTTGGGAGTTTATGTTGGGCATGCTCAATGCCAGCGGTAGTGGCAATTGTTGTGCTGAGAAGGCTCAGCTAGGTCTTCCAAGTGCCCATCCACACATCCTTGTAATGTGTGTCCTCTCTGTCCCCAAGGGCAGACTCATTCTTGAGGCTTCTCTTATCCTTACTCCTTTTCCGTTCTTTGTTTCTCTTCTCTTCATCTCTCTTCCTTGTGTTTATCACCTCCCCCTTTACTCTGGCCCTTTTTGGCCGTTATGGCACAGGTGGATGCGGGCAGCTCACCCTCAACTTCATCAACGTGGCAAGCCTTGTACGTTAGAGGCAGGGTGAAGGAGGAGTCAAAAGAAGAATGAGAAAAATGACTAGTTGTTTGTTTGTTTGTTTTTTCAATCTTCACCGTTGTTTCGCAAAGTGCGCTCTTTCAGTTCATAGTTATATGAAAATAATAAAATATATATGGGACGGACAAGGTCAGATACATTTACTCACTCACTTTTTTTTTCACTTTTTTTTTCCCAAAAAACACCCCCTGCAGTGCTAGTGGTACTACCGTACTGGTAAAAGCAGGTACCACTACTGTTCTTGAATGTATACATCTGACGGGCAACGTTAGATGAACTCGCGCACGATAAGGCTACCGCTGAGCTCATGCACGCCCTCTCTCTCTCACGCCCTCTCTCTCTCTCTCTCTCTCTCTCTCTCTCTCTCTCTCTCTCTCTCTCTCTCTCTCTCTCTCTGTGTGTGTGTGTGTGTGGCGCGCGTGGGCCTGAGGCACCCCCTTGGCGTACAAGGACTCCTCTCTATGCAGGCCCTGTACAAGAACCTTCGGCAGCTTGAATGTTCTGCTGCAATGATGTCTTCCACCGCTGTTGGAAGTGACTCGACCTTGTCTGTGGCTGAGGAGTCGTCAAGGAGGACCACGGCCGAGGGAGCATTTCAAATTTTCCTCGAACGGGTCGTCTATTCCTTCTCCAATGTGCTCTTCAGTGGTAGGAAAATCATGGAAACAATGGGCGTTGGACGGTTTGGACCCATATGATCCATTTCTTTGTCGGTCTACTTCTCCATGTCTGGCTGATAGCATCCTTCTTTTGCAACTCCTTCTGAATCAGCGTTGGAGACCAACTTGAAAGGGACTCATCATCGGTGGACAACCTGTCGACCGCTGTTATGCTTCCTCTCCAATTTGCGCCTGTGATGCCAGCAGATCCGGAGTGCGTAGTCGGTGCCGCCGTTTTCCTCCTTTGCCTTGCACATAGCATGCTTCCGTCCAGAAGCCTTGACCTCCCATTAGGTTTACATGGGGATACAGCTGCTCAACCAAGCTGCTCAGCCAAAGTCAAGACAACCGGACTATCCCTGAGGTTCATGTCTTCGCATCCCTGCTCTCCATCTGGTCCATCAAACCCCTCCCTCCTGGCCGCTGCTTTTTCATACTCGGTGACAGTCCACTGGTAGAGTTCTCCCACTGCTCGTTGGATGTGTTGTCGCTAGAAGCTTCACCTTTTGAGTGGTCGACCATATGCTCACCAACGGGGTTGATGTCTGTGTCTTCTTCCAGACCCATGGTGGGTGAAAGATTGAATGCCGGTCCGGTTCGCTGTTGAGAGGCACACACATGTCCAAAGGGGGTGCAATTGCTTTCGCTGTCGGTCTGGTGCTCATTTCTTGCGCATGTCCTGCACTCCTATGTTCGACATGTCTGACTGGGCATTCAGGCTGTTTGGAAGTTGTTTTGGATCAGGTGTGCCCGCTTTCAACCACTGCCAGGGAAGATTGAACATGTTAATGGAAGTTGAAGTCCATGCTGGCCCCTGCCTACTCCGCAGTCAATGCCTGCCAGTGAAATCGAATGCTCCTCCTTCGATCCCTCGATTAGACTTCCAATTACTTGTGTGCAGTCCTCCTCTCACAAACCCCCGACCTTCCTGAAGCAGGATGACCCGCTTTCACTCATCACACCACACGCGAAGCAAAACACAGGGCAGCAAAAACGCTCGTGCCCAAAATTTGACAAACAGCATGTTTTGGGTTTGAATCAACTGCGGCCGTGGGGTGTTTCAATTCCGGAAAGGCAAAAAACACACTGAACAGCACTTTTGTCGCGGCACAGTTTGGAATGTGCAAAAGAGTAAAAGTAGACCTTGGGTTCTTTTTGCAGTTCGTGAACTCAGGCCCTCTACAGACCATGGCCTGGCCTTTAAGGCTTTACCTTAGTAGAACTCGTTACAAAGAACCGCGCCTCGACATGCTGCTATTTGTTTTTTTCTGCCTATTCCAACTCCTTTCTTCCGAGACGCGGTTGGCTCTTTTCTTTTCTACCAAGCATAGTTAGCCCCAAGCCCAATGCATCACCTGCGGTCATGACCGCGGGGGCGCTGACCGCATGTGGTCGGGATCATGACCGCCGGGGCCGACCGTGTGCGGTCGAGTGCGACCGCAAACCCCAGATATTTTCAATTCCTAGGAGAATAGGCCGAAAAAAAAAAAAAAGAAATAACTGCGCGGGTGACCGCTGCACAGTTCCGAATTCGCAGGAAGGAATAACAATAACAGGGCACTGCGGTTCTGGGCCAAGGGAGGGCTGTTAGAAACTGCAAATTTAAAATAGAACTGTTACAGCTTTGTGAACTTCTAGCCGTTGGAAGAGTTCGGAAGTGGCAAAATCAGGCGGCCACTCGTGTTTTTTTTTTTTTTTTTTTTCCGCGCCTGCTCATGCCACGGCCGAGCTGTCTAGGCCACACCCGTGGTAGGGTCGCCCGTTAATGGAAGGACTGTTTTTTTCTGAGGGGAACCGGCTGGGTCTGTGTCTGCGGTAGTCCGTGTGTGAAGTCTCCTTGAAGTTTCGGACCGGGTTTCCCATGTGTTACTGTCTTTTCGATAGTCGGTGGTCTGTTTCGATAGTCGGTGGTCTATTTTTTGGTGGATTCCCTTTGTTCTTTCATTGGTGTCTCGGTAGGTATTTAGTTGAGCCTAGACCACCAAGAGTCTTTGAGCCAGCAAAGACTCCTGAATAGGCCCGGTGGCGACCGGCCGAAACGGAACCGTCGAGTCACACCGATCACTGCGGCGGCAGTGTCGAGGGTGGAACGTCCACGATTATTCTTGTTATCCTCGTTTGCGCTCGGGAGAATCGATGAATTTTTTTTCTGACTCGAGTGTGGTCTTAGGTGTCTTCTTTCCTCCCTTCTCTCCCCCCCCCCCCCCCCCCCCNCCCCCCCCCCCCCCCTCTCTCTCTCTCTCTCTCTCTCTCTCTCTCTCTCTCTCTCCCTCTCTCTCTCTTTTCTTTCCGCTCTTATCCCTCCCCTTCCTCTTCTCGTCGGTGTGGTTTTCCAAATCGGCATCCATGTGTGCATGTGTATTATCCATATACTTGCACGGTAACCGCTGTAGTAATTGCACTATAGTTGTGTGGCTGTGAGATTTTATTGTGATAGTTATTGACGAGCGGATGCTACTTTCTCTGGTTCTCTATCGCTTGCTCAGAGTGCTCTTGCTGGTTCTTTGCTGTGCTCTACTACCTGTCGCTGGTAGACGGGTTCTTTTCTTTTATCTTTTTTCTCCTGCCATGGCTGATCATCACTCTAATCCTAATTTCATCCCGGTTCGACGTTGCTTCACGTGCAATGAACCGGATCACTTTTCTAGGGAATGCCCGAGGAACTTTGGTGCGAATGGAGTTATTCTCAGGTCACGCAGAATGGTGCTTCTTCATCTGGCCAGACTAATGCCATTGTACCCGCACAGGAGGCGGGATTGCTGGTGCTGCCTGCTCCTTCGTCCTCGACGCATCAGGAACTCCCGACCGGCAGCGAGGTTGTGCCGGCTGTTCCACGACAAGGATGGTGGAGGAGTAACCAAGGTAGATTTAACGAGATGTACTGGTGGAGTGCTGAGAAGGAGGCGCGTGAGGTGGCGCAGAGGGAGAAGGAGCGATTGAAGGTCGAAGAGGAGGAGAAGGTTAGGAAGGAGCGTGAGGCTGAGAATAGACGTAAAGAAAGGCGTGAGTTCCATCAGGAGATGAGTGAGGTATTAAGCCCCCAGCTGAAGGAGATTTGTGCAACGATTGTTGGCCCCTGTAAGATTGGGGAGGCTACAAAGGAGGATGAGGCTGCTCGTTTACGACGAGAAAACGAGGAATTCAGAAAGAGTATGGAATCGAGATTGGAGAAACCAACTTTGGAGAACGAGGTGCTGAAGATGAAGGTTCACGACAGCAACCAGGAATCGCAGAGATCTGGATCCAAACGGAGAGTCGTGGATCGGAGAGGATCAACCTACGCTGGTGAGGTTGCATCAGGCCGTGGAGCCCGTGAGTGAGGTACAAAGATTAAGGTCAGCCTACAAGAGGATTTCGGAGGACAATGAGGCTATGAAAGCGGAGATACGGCTGCTTAAGGAGATGAAGATACACGCGCAGGTTGAATCGGTCGAGCTGCGGAAGAAATTGACGGGAAAAACGCCGTGCCCTGCTCGATCTGATCTTAGGGTCTCTTTTGAGGAAGCGGCCGATTCGGATGATGAGGATGGCGTTGAAGCGCATCTGACTAGAAACTCGAAGGAAGCCTCGGTCAAAGGACAAGCCTTGAGGATGGTGGTGTTTGAGAAGAAGGTTAGGCGCGAGCTTCGTGGGTTGCGTAAGAATCAGGCGCAGACGATTTGTGACGAGGAAGTAGTTGAGTTCGTGACTATCAAGCAGGCGATCGACTCCATCGTTGAGAAACGGCTTGATAAGGAGTTCGGATCTGGTGAAGGTGAGGTTGACCCGAAGAGTGGGGATTTGCCGAAGGAAGGCACTGAAGGTAAGGATGGGGAGAACCTTGAGGGTGACTATATCCAGGAGGTTTCTGATACATAGGGTTCCCTCCCGAGTGCAAGCACCGCCTGGTTATCCTTAGCGAGATGTTCTTTCGTTAGATCGTCTTCTATCTTTCTTCGCGATTCTCATATCGATTGCCTCTTTCGTTTGCTTGTCTTGTCTTTAATCTGTTCTGACTCTATCCCTTGGTTAGTCAAATTCCGTGGGTACATTGAGGATTTGTGTTCGAGGGGGTTTGACTTCTTATCATGTCCCGGACCTTTGGTATATGCGGTTGTCTCTCCACGGTGTAAGCACATCTATATTGGCTCTACAACTAGGGATCTTCCGACCAGATGGCGAGAGCACGTCTACCGAAGTAGGGCAGGAGGGAACATGGAGAGAAACCACAAACTGCATCGTTGGATTCGACGTTTTGATGTGGGAAATTTCGTGGCTATCCCTCTGTGTGTTTGTAGCAAGGATAATGTTTTGTTGATAGAGAGCACTCTGATTAGGATTCTCTCTCCACATCTTAACTCTAAGGGCAGGAAGAGAGCTTCTAAACGCAAGAGGAAGGGTAAACGGGAGAGGGAGAGGTTGAGGAAACGAACTACTGGGGATGGTGGTGTGAGGACGTTTGGTCTGGCGAAGAGGATTATGACCTTCATGTCGTCTGATGGACAGCAATCTGCCAGTATTATTTCTATTCTCAAATCCTGCTTTGAGAAGGGGGTCCATGATGCGGTGATCGTATGTGAGGGTGGCGATGTTTTTTGCGACGGTTGGAAACTTGTGAAGCGTTGTTTTGGTACGTCGGTCATTTCGATTGGTTCGGACAAGCTGGAGTTGAAAAAGGCGAGAGAGCGTTTTCGTGGTGGCTGTAGCATTCGTTTTCTCAGCATTAATCTTTTCTGTTCCTCCCTGGTTCATCTCAAACAACCCCTGGTGCAGCTTCTATCCCACCCTGCTAGACGCAAGGATCTCTATTCCTGGTCGTTCGAGGATTTGGTTTTGGGTTTCGGTGCGATACGGTGTTTTTCTGACAAGCGGTCCCGATTCTCGTTGTGTGTTATTCTGTCTAACGCTATCCTTAGGTGTTTTGGGATTTCTGTACGGCAAAGGATTGTTGTGCGGGTCGTTTTTATGGAATCTATCTCCAAAGCGGCGGTGCATGTTGCGGAGATTGATATCATTCGGTCGTTAAGGATTCGGGTTGTCTGGAAGGAGCTACTGGTGAGAAGGCTCCGGGTTGTATGGGTTAAGAACCGAAATCTGGGTGAATTGATTCATAATTATCGGCAAGCTGCCAGATAGGCTACTCCAACATGCTGCTGTGAGGCCTTTAGAGGATGTTTTCCTAATGTGGATGGGCACGTCTCCTTTCGCATCAGCCAGGTTGATCTCTTTCCTGATTGGTTGGCTAATACGAGGAATATTCCTCATCCGACAATGCTGGATGCCATTCGATGTGTGAGGGTATCGTTGGCTGACGCTTTTTCCGCCTTCCAACCCTACTTGTCTCACGATGTTGTTATGATACCTGAACATAGGATTGCTGCTTGTGTTAAGAAAGATCCTGGTCTTCTGTGCTCTGGGTTAACCTTGCCATCTTCTTTTTCGAATCGCCTTCTCACTTGCCTCGACCCTGTCTTTTCTTCCTTTTCTGCTTCTTCTTCTTCTTCTTCTTCTTCTTCTTCTTCTTCTTCTTCTTCTTCTTCTTCTTCTTCTTCTCATTCTTCTTCTTCTTCTTCTTCTTCTTCTTCTTCCTCCTCCTCCTCTTCTTACGCTTCGGTGTCTTCTACTCGGGATCAATCTGCCTCATTTATACCGGATTTTAGATCTCTGCCTTGTGATGTTGAGTCTGTCCGCAGGATTCGATCTTTTCTGGCCGGTCTCGTCTGTTGTACAATTGATCGTAACCCCGTTGATTCTCTGGTATGTTGTCCCATGGTCTACTATGCAGGATTAAGCAAGTTGTTTTTAGAGAACCCGGGGTTCATCCCCACTGGCTGTGATGAGGGGACCTTGTTGGCGAGCTGTCGGGGTGAATTTGTGCAAAGTGGCTTTGGGCGTTTGGGTAGATGGAAGAGGTCGGGACGTTTTGGGAGGGCTTATGGCATCCCGAAGCACAAGGATGTTCAGAAGGGAGACCGATATGCCCTTCATATTCTGAACCGGCCAATGCTGTTTGTAAGAAGATTGCCAGTTGTATCAATGAATTGTTGTGGAGGCCACCGCTCGGATCGCGCTTTAACCTTCAGAGTACGCGGGATTTGGTTGGTCGTTTGTCGAGGGTCAACAGATCGGCGAAGAGCAATGACTGTGTGTTGGGAGGCTCCTTCGATGTGAAGGAGATGTTTTGCAGTTTGCCGCACGAATCCATTTTGCAAGCAGTGAGGTGGGTGACTGAGTTTTGGGATGAAAGGATGTGTACGGGTGTGATGGTCAAACGAGGGGTAAAGGGGCTAAGCTTAGATTTGGACGCACCATTGAAGGATATTTACGTATTTCATTCAATGAAATCCTTGATTTAGTGCAGTATGATTTGGCTCATACGTTTATTGAGGTCGGTGGGGTGTACCTGAGGCAAGTGATCGGCATTCCCATGGGGAAAGCATCCAGTCCAGCGCTGGCATGCTTGCTATATTCTTTCTATGAATTCCACTTTCTGAGGTCTCTTGGCAATGACCGTAAGTTTTTCTACGGGATCCGATTGGTAGATGACATTTTTGTCTTTGTTAGATTTAGGAAAGGTGATTTACAGTCCAGATGCAGGGCGGAGGGCCTGATCGAAAGTTTCAAACAATGCTATGATCCAAGGATGATTTTGGAATCCACAAGTGATGGCGATTCCTGGGATTTTTTGGGCTGTGTTGTCTGCTTGTTGGATGGTCGGTCTGTGGGATGTGTGGCCATGCATCGTAACCGACGGGCCATTTTTCAGCAAGGGATCGTGTTTCAGGCCATTCAGGATTTCTGCTCGTATTCGTCCAGACAGCAGAAGATGGCTGTCATCTACTCTTTTCTTCATCGCTGTAGAAGTCTGACGAGTTTGGAGGGGGCTGAAGCTGGTTTCTTGTTTTCTCTGAAGGTTGAGTTGTGGTACAGAGGGTACCCAGATGAGTTGTTTGATAAGGCTTTGGAGTGTTTCTCCCGGCGTTTTGGAGGTATTTGGAGTAAGTGGGTGCAAATGTTTACGCATTGGGGGAGATTTTTTCCCTGTTAAGTGTTGCGGAGTATACTGGGGGCCCATTGGTAGGGTCGCCCGTTAATGGAAGGACTGTTTTTTTTCTGAGGGGAACCGGCTGGGTCTGTGTCTGCGGTAGTCCGTGTGTGAAGTCTCCTTGAAGTTTCGGACCGGGTTTCCCATGTGTTCCTGTCTTTTCGATAGTCAGTGGTCTATTTTTTGGTGGATTCCCTTTGTTCTCTCATTGGTGTCTCGGTAGGTACTTAGTTGACCCTAGACCACCAAGAGTCTTTGAGCCAGCAAAGACTCCTGAAGAGGCCCGGTGGCGACCGGCCGAAACGGAACCGTTGAGTCACGCCGAACACTGCAGCGGCAGTGTCGAGGCTTGAACGTCCATGATTATTCTTGTTATCCTCGTTTGCGCTCGTCATGTCTTCTTTCCTCCCTTCTCTCCCCCCCCTCTCTCTCTCTCTCTCTCTCTCTCTCTCTCTCTCTCTCTCTCTCTCTCTCTTTCCTCATCCCCCCCCCTCTCTCTCTCTCTCTCTCTCTCTCTCTCTCTCTCTCTCTCTCTCTCTCTCTCTCTCTCTCTCTCTCTCTTCTCCCACCCCTTCCCCCTATCGTCGGTGTGGTTTTCCAATTCGGCATCCATATGTGCATGTGTATTATCCCTATTATCCACACCCGTGCCCGGGCCATGGCCGAGATGTCTTGGCCACGCCCGTGGCTTTGCCACGGTCGAGATGTCTAGGCCATGCCCGTGCCTGGGCCACGGCCGAGATGTCTAGGCTACGGCCAAGATGTCTAGGCCACGGCCGAGATGCCTAGGCCACACCCCTGGGGAAACGAGCCAAAAACGGGAAGGCCTGCTACCAGTAACTGCTCCCAGGCCAGGGCACGGGGAAAAGAGCACCTCCACCTCCCGTTTTTGCCAATTATTGAACAGGCAGGCCATCGAACGCATGATTTACTGTTTTTCTTGCAGTTTCTAACTGGTCTTTGCCCAAGCTTGCAGTCGACTGTCATTTCTGCAAATTCTGAACAGTGCAGTGGTCACAGGTGCAGTTGTCTCAAATAAAAAATATGGGGTTGTAGGGTTTGAAAATCCCTGCATCCCCATATTTGCTTTTTTGGATTTTGACCAGTGCCGGACCCGTGAACGTGACCGGCCGTTCATTTGGTGTTTTTTTTTGTGAATGGCCGTTCCCGGTGAACAGGCCGACCACGAAAGAGTGGTGTTATTTTTTATTTTATTTTATTATTATTATTTTTTGGGGGGCTCACTCAGCTACAGTTGCCTCAAGCCCCACAGCATGATGACATTGAAAAAATAAGAAAAAATCGAAATAACCCACAAAATAACAAACAAAAATCCTTATTTTGGCTGGTTGCATTTTTTTTTCGTTTTTAATTAAAAACATATTATTCGTGAAAAAAACAAATTGAAAAAATTATGGGAGTTACCCTCGGATGTCCCCCACCCTCATACAAAACAACAACACCCCCCCCCCCCCCCCCCCGCCAAAAAAAAAAAAAAAACTGATCCCGCTCTCCGTGAACTCCATGAACTCGTACACCGTGTACTCCATGACCGGTTTCCGTCCACAGACCCCGTAACTGGTGAACGGGGGTACAACACTGATTTTGACGTTTTCTGTTTTTTTTAAAAGAAAATAGAAAACAAAAAAACAAGTATTGTAATAAAAAGAAACATAAAATAAAGGATATTTTTCATTTTTCTCTGATTGCTAGTGGGATAAACATGGTGCACATGTTTCTTTGATTCTTTTTTTCATTAACATATGCAAATATAAAAGGAAAAAAACTTAAAAAAAGATAATAATGAAAAAAAAAACAAAGCCGTTCTCCTTTTTTCTTCTTCTTGTTTTTCGTTTTTTACAGACACACATACTGAGTGATTGATTGATTGATTGATTGATTCGCTGTGATTGGTTGGTTGATTGATTTATTGATCTATTGATTGATTAATTGATTGATTGATTAAAATTAAAAAAAACGAATGTGCGTGTTTGTGTGTGTGTTTGTGTGTATGTTTGTGTGTGTGTGTGTGTGTCAGTGTGTGTGTGTGTGTGTATGTGTGTGTGTCTGTGTGTGTGGGGGGGGGGGAGGAAGGGGGGGAGGGAGGACCCCCTCCCCCACCAACCAATCAATCAATAAATCAATCAATAAACAATTTTTAATTTTTTTTTTTGATTTTGTTTTTCACACACCGACCACCACCCCCCCGAAATTTTTTTCTTCTTACTTGTTTTTCATCTACGGGGTAGGGTCTGGGTTCCGGAATCCCAATCCGCAACCCCCACCTTCAACCCCCTCCCCCTCTGGCCACCACGCGACTGCGGTCATGACAGCAGGTACGTGGCCATGACTGCCGGCCGCGGTCAGTGACCGTGGCCGGTGGGGATTTGTAGCCCAAGACTAGCTTCCCCTCTGGGGCCTCACCCCACTATACAAAGTTTCGCATGTATCTGGACAGCATACCAATCCAACATTTTGAGTGCATCTGGGCGACCTTTACAGTCCAGATACAACTACGGTGTCATGTAGTGGATTCTCTCTCTCTCTCTCTCTCTCTCTCTCTCTCTCTCTCTCTCTCTCACACACACACACACACACACACACACACACACACACACACACAGACGCACAATGGGAAGACCCTCTGCGCCTCCCTCCACTTCACGACATTGTACACGTATCCCTGGACTACTCAACATCTTACACGTATCCGGACCATATTGTCCCCAAGAAACATTCAGATTTATCAGCATTTTGATTGTTTATGGATGATACATGTGGAATGTGGACACTCTGGACTATACAACATTCTGCATGTATCTGGACCATTATCATTTCCTAGACCACATTCGGATTGATCCAGTATTTTGAAGGTATGTCGGGGCTGCATGTAGAATACAGTGAAGCGAAGCCAGTCTCTCTCTCTCTCTCTCTCTCTCTCTCTCTCTCTCTCTCTCTCTCTCTCTCTCTCTCTCTCTCTCAATATCCCCCCCTCCCTACACAATGGAAGGACCTCCGGGCCTCCCTCGACTACACAACATTCTACATGTATCTGGACCACACCGTACTGAAGATACAATTTGATTCATCCAGCATTTTGAATGTGTCTGGGTGTACATACAGAATATAGAGTCTTTAACTCTCTCTCTCTCTCTCTCTCTCTCTCTCTCTCTCTTCAGTATTCCCTCTTCCCTACGCAAACATCCTCTCGGCCTCCCTTTACTACTAAACATCCTACATGTATCTAGACCATGTCACCTCCCAGATACATTCTGATAGATCCAACATTTTGAACGTCCTACGGAATGAATGCAGAATACAGTGTAGCGAAGTGACTCTCTCTCATCTCTCTCTCTCCACCCACAATCAGAGGACCTTGCTGGCCTCGCTCTACTACTAAACATTCTACATGTATCTGGACGATTTCATATCTCAGATACATTCGGATTGATCCAGAGTAATTTTGAAAGTATCAAATAGCATCAGAACAACTCTCTCTCTCTCTCTCTCTCTCTCTCTCTCTCTCTCTCTCTCTCTCTCTCTCTCTCTCTCTCTGTGTGTGTGTCTCTCTCTCT